GCTTTTAGTTTGTTTAGCTTTTGCTTCTGATAGTTTGTATCATACAGTTCCTTGCTGCCTATAATTTGCTGTGCTTCTATCATTGTTGTAATAAACTACACTTTACTCCCATGTTTGCAATAGTAACTAGTTCTAATAGTAATTATTATTATTAAGAAAAATATAATATTACTTCTTAGTTCTAATTAGGTCTGATTATTATTAATAACAATTTAATAATTCCATATTTTGGTCTCGACTGTGGTATAGTTAGCACACTCATCAAGTTTATACTTAGATGATTAGGAAGAAGAGCACATGCAGCAGACGCAGAAACAGAAATACCTCGCAGGTGATGGATTCATGCAGACAGGGGCAGGGATTTGCAGGAAGGTGGCAAAAACATCAATTATAATTACGGCTACTTACAAAATGAAAAAGACGCTTAGCTCTTTTTGTTGACGCATCATTTACTTCTTTGAGACAATGTGGGGAATAAATTACAAAGTCGAATAAAGTGTTAAAATTGATCGTTAATAGTTAAGAGATGCTACTGTTTGCTAAAATTGTAGTATGGCATAATACGGCTTAGTTTAGAATAGTTTGTAGGGTATTGGTCACCATGTTATAGAAAAGACATACCTGCTCTGGAATCAGTTCAGAGAACGGCAACCAGGCAGACTGAAGCAACTAAACTGGTTCAGTGTAGAACAGAGGAGATTCTAAGGGGACCTAATACAAGTACTCAAAATACTCAAAGTCAAACCAGCGGGTTTTGATCATTGAAGACGATGCCCCGGCATCTCTCAAGAAACAGCTGGATGAGTTCCTTGGATCAATTAACTAACTTCCAAGTGGGCTAGATATACCCAGAGAGGCTTTTGTCCTGTTACTGTTCCTACAGTATGTACTGTACTGTGCCGTGGTATTGTATACCTTAAGCTTAAATAAAGCAAGATCAAGTAAAATCCCAGCTGAGTCCTCAGGATGTAGGAAAACCCCACCGGATTGAACAGTTTTCACTTTAACTGGGAAAATAGGTGGGGTCACTCTTTGGCGAAAATTGCCACCTTCCTCCCTACAGCTACAACTTGATGGTCCAGGTAAAGAAGTGAATATGTAAAATCCCTTCCTTACACACCTACGCTACGCAGTTGTGTGTATTTGCTTTTCTTCCTCCCTGCAATGCAGGGCTCGCCAAGGTCTGATTTAGTGTGACTCGGGTGGGAGGGGGTGTGCGGATGTCAGGAGGCAGCACGTGTGCTGGAGAAGCGCAGCTGCCCGTGCAGAACTATTTTTACACAGGGGGCGGTAAGCAAACCTGTCGGAGAGGATCGGGGAGCCGCGTTGACATGGCCACTCCAAACTGACGCGGCCAGAGCTCGTGGAGGGGCCCCGAGACAAAATCGTCATCTCAGAAAGGTCAGGCAGCTCCAGCAGCTCTTAACGAAGCTGGGCCAAGAAAGTGCCAATGCGACAGTCTTCTCCAAGGCCTTTCTCCATCCCACGCTCTTTCTTTAAGGAAAGAAACTGAAGAATCACCTCACAGTGGCGTCACTGGAGAAATTTCGAAGTTACCCGGAAGCCTGATCACTGCAGAACTGCGGTGGCAGTATCTCAGCCTGCGTAGTAGCTGAAAACCGACGCTTTGAAAAATAAGGAAATATGTTGAAATACAATGTCTTGGAAGGGTGGTTTTCTTAGGGAATTCAACATCTGCTGCTGGATTACAAAATGGATAGCCTGTAGCAGAAATATAGGGGATTGCTTTGGAGGAGGGACTGAGTGAAACACAGTAAAGGACAAAGGTCTGTCCACAGTTGTAAATCAGGAACTAAGGTCAGCACATTGAATTAATTGGTGTAAGAATTATTTTAAATGACTAAAACATAATGACATTATAAATAAAGACATGTTTTAGCAATATTTGAAGTGGCTCAATATGTCTTCATTCTCAAAACAGGTCTGATAAAAGCTTTGCATATTTGAAGAGTTCTAGATTTTTGTTATATGGGGTCAGGTGCTGCTGATTTCCTGACTTTGTGCAGTTCCAGGTACTGTTGGGATACTTTTTTTTCTTGCTTTGGCATCATCTGTCTTAATTCTTCTGTCAGTTTCTGCCTGGTTTCAGGTACAGGTACAGATCAGTGATGAGAAGACACGCAGTTTCTCCACCTTCTCTGCATAATAATTTCGATGTGTGCTTTAGGTCTACTTGTCCTGTTGTGCTTTTCTTCATTTCTTAAATCGTTTTTTACCTTCAGTGCACATATAAAAGGTTTCATCTAGAAGGCCAAAACAAAACATTATAAAAACCACATGTGTATTGCATGTCAAACTAATGCAGGGTGTGTCATCATATGCCATACAGTATCTCGATGTTCTGTGTGGGTGGTGCCCACAAAAGTAAATGGATATAGAATCATTGATAGAACTTTGTGAAATGTGTACAGGCAACATGACAAACAATGTTTGTACTTTGTACATATATTTTATTTCTCCTCTATACTGGTGTTAATTTCTTGCTCTGGACAAATCCCATGTGCTATATGTACTTTAATGGAAAATGGGGGGTCAGTAGTCACAAACAGGTGGTGTTAATAAGTGCAGCTCACACCTGACCAGAAATACACTGTACCAGCGGCCCTCTGCCAGGAGAAACTTGCCAGATTCGTATTCTGTGATGGTGATTAATGTCCTCTGGGGTCTGCGTCAAGACCACTAAATGGATTTCACTTGTCATCTGAGCCAAGTTACAAACCCAGGCCTCTAGGGCTGCATGAGGTTTGCAGAGTACGTCTAACAACCCAGTGCTTTAATTTATCATTCCTCCTCTTTTCAGAGGTAGTTTCAGCCATAAATGAGTGTGGCAAAGATACACAACTTTCCCAGTCAGGTGGAGCAAGAACAATCATGAGTGTTATTTTCCACTGTGTTTCATCACAGTGACAGCGCTGTATCCTCTTGTCCCTTCTGTTTGTATGACTGGATGAGGAAACACACCTGTGCAGTCTGTTTTTTGTTTTGTTCTTTCTTGTCTGACTTCCTACTTTCATTGAGAAGAACTATTTTATAATAAAGAAACCGCCAACTTTTGACAGGCTGTTTTTGCTTAACTGCAATAGAGCACCAGCTGTCTCACATCTGGTGCAAGAAGGTGCATCATTTTTATCACACCATGCAATGGACTTACAATGGGCTTTGAGTCCCATCTTTCACCCACTGATTTATTGTTATATGGCTAATATCCCAGGGCACATAATCCACAAACATCATTAACATCAGACACTTAAAAATAGCCATTGGGAAAATAGAATAAGGCCTTTTTAAGATGTAAGGTGAAGGGTGTTTATTTTGAAACCATCAAAGGGTTTTGAGAAGTTGCACAGTCTATACATTCTACTGTTAACTTTCTTTGCTGTTTCCTTTTATAAAATTATTACATGTTAATAAATCACTAAAATATGAGGCTCCAGATGAAATCCTTTAAGACATATTTTGCCCATTACTCCCGTAAATATGCTGCAGATAATTGTGTTTTGTTGTCCTCTGTTACGCTAAATTTCCTCAATGTGATTTATCATGTGAGGAAAAAAATGCAATACTTGCCTTGGGATGTGGAAAATCTAACAAAAACTTGGAATAAGCTATGGCATATAATTTTGTCTAGGATTCTAGAGATACCATTAAAACAAGTTGAAATACATTTTAAAAATTCAGACTTCAGACTGACTGGGTGAGAGGCATATGTTTCTCAGCTTTCATGATTAATTGCCAAACTGTCACATTAGAGAACTCTGATTATTCCAGGTGTGTGTTTGTTTGTAAGGGATGATGCTAAGCAGTTGTGGATATTATAAGCAAAGACACATTTGACAATGACAACTCGTAGACTTAACAGCTTTATAAAAGCAGAGATAGAAAGTAATAACGCAAGTCTACTGAAAGGCATTTCTATATTCAGTGCAAAAACAATGCAGAGGAGAGGAGGAATCTAGGAATCACACACTGTGAATGTTCACTCCCTAGTCTCCTGGAGAGAACCTGAGTAAATATCAACAAGAATAAATACGGCATGAGCTCATGCATATTTCAGAGCAATTTCTATGTTCATCATTTAACTGTTATCTAATTACAACCTGCAGCTGAATGTGCATTTAAGAAATACTCTAAAAGCCATTGGATACAATTTGGTTTTATGCAGAATAATAATTGCTTATTTGGAAATAAAACATAAACCATGGAGCATTTGCTTTTAGTACTAGTTAGTGATTTTCCCAGTTAAAATGACTATGGGGAAACCACATAATCTAATAGAAACGCACATACTAGATACTACCAGCACACCTGTTCAGGTGGCACCCACTGGTGTATTGCTGTCCATGGGAATGTATTCTAGAAAGTAGTTTTCATGGTCATCTGAGCAAGCCAGCCCAATTTATAAGCACTCTTCAATTAAATTGGACTTAGAGCTACTTGACGTTACAGATATCTGTAGGCAAGGTGTCGTGGTATTGTGGTGGTAACACCACAGCGCAGTTTAGTGAAATCGGTGTATGTGTTTTTACACATAGTAAAAGTGCAAGCTGTGCAATTTCTGCACCCTGGCAGGAGGCAAGAGACACTCTCTTCGTAGTGGCACATTGACAGTATAGTGGTAAGGAGGAGTGGGCCAAGTCTCCTGAGAACCATTCGCTTTCTCCTGCTGGTACCAAGGCTTTTCAGTTTTTTACCTTTAATCCTTTTTTCTGTAGCAGAGATTTTGCAAAAACATTACAGATGCCTATCGCCATGAATTAATGATTGATTAGACCAAGATATCTCCAGAGGTTGTCGAAATATAAATCCATTCTGCTGTTGGTGATTACAATCTACATCCCTATGGCTATAAATAGGTTTGCTGCCCCGAGCAAACCTACATAAGGCAGGAGCTTTTGAACAAAATAACCCAGATTTGGCAATCATAGGGTCTTCAGTGACTGTGAACTGTGTGTGATTGCAGTTTTGTCCTTGTCTTTTAGCGGGATGCGAAGGGACAGTATCTGTTTGACCTCATCTGCCACCACTTGAACTTACTGGAGAAGGACTACTTTGGAATACGATATGTGGACCCTGACAAGCAAAGAGTGAGTTCCTGCGCAGCACTTCCTATTGTGCTAATGTAGAAAGTTCGTACTTAATTTTAAGTCTTTATTCCAAACATGACTTCTAGTTTGGTGTAAGATGAGTTTAAGATACTGTACAGGGATCAGCATTATCCCCGTTGTAGCACAGGACTGTATAAAATGTACCTCAAGCACTAAGAAGTTTGATGGTGATGGAAAATGATTAAACTATTAATTATTAAAGATTATACAAAGGTTTACCAAACTGGAGTTTCTACATTACTCTGTACGTACTGTAAAACAACGTTTATGTTCACTATAGTTATTTAAGGAATTCTAGGAATATTTTAATAATTGTAGTTGTATCTCTGTTTAACAGATTCCTCTTTATGGTTTTCTTTTCCAGTTGTCTCCTTCTCTCTAACAAATAGAGAGGTCACCTGTTCTCAGCTTAACTGTTGTTTATACCAGTGAATTTCTCAGTGCCCTGTTGAACGAGCAGGCTTTCATGAAAAATGTACAGTATCTGTTCCTTGAGTAAGACCTTGGTCTTCCCACTATGGCCATTAAGGTCCATTGCTGCAATGTCACGCTTAAGTTAAATTTTGTTTAAGTGTCTCTGAGGAAGTAGCCTTCTGTGGTGTAAACGTTCAAAAAACAACAAGTCGAATTAATCATCCGTTAAGAGATATCTCAGTACCCTTCGCTATTGTGAAAATCTTAGAGGAGAGGTGATGAGCTGCAAGGTTTCCTCTAAAGCCTGGCTGGGATTTAGCATTCCCCAGGAAAGACTGTGCCCACAGATGAGCAGGGAACAAACTGCCTTATTAGATTCAGCACCAAGGTCAGCGTGGCGCTACAGGGAGCTGTGCAGTGTTGCACACAAAACCGCTGTGCAAGGTTTCCTTGCTTTCTTCATAGAGAAGAGGATCTACCCTCTCAAAGAACAGAGGGCTCGATAAAGCAGGTGTGTGCGCTACAGTGGGAGGGCTGATGTTACAGTCCCTTCACGTGGGAAGCAACAGATTAAACTGTCTATAGTTGCATCGCATTAACCAATAATGTTCTATCCGGTATCATTCTGTCGAAAGTACTTTTAAGAGTAATGAACTGGCTCTGGTTTGCTATGACAATGTACCACATGGGCATCAGGTGAGAATATGGCACTTAGATGAATAGCACAGTCCGATCTGCCTTTCTCCACTGATTCCAATATGAAATGTACGTACTGCCCCCCCCCCCCCAATGGCAGGTAACTTGCCAGAAAACAACATTTGAAAAAAGGTATCTTTAAAAACACTTCCTTTCATGTTTCCCTGAGAAGCTCTTGATCAAGAAAAATCACATCAGTGCGACATAAATAAATATGAGGGTGGTGCAGTAGAAGCTGAGTAAGAGTGGCCTGCATTCACAGATAAGGGCATTAATCAACCTGTGCTTTTGTGTAGTGCGCTCTCTGATTTTTATGTCACCAGCATGTGGTGCTTCAGTAGGATTTGTATGCGTTAAACAAAACTCCACATGCAAACTGCATTTGAAAGGCAGCCGAATGAGAATCAGCTATTGTCCGAATGATTATTCTAGTACCAGCATACACAGGGTAATCAGAAAAACCATAGGAGACGAAAAAAGAAAAATGCTAGACAGATTGCAATGCAATGTTTATACTGGTTATGTGGAAACAGATAACATTTGCACTAAAGAGAGCAGCTGTTTAACTCAATTTAATTCAAAAGAATCAAGACCGATTGGCTTGAAACGTTGAGGACTTTTTTGGATGCTATGGTAGGATCAATATACAGGAGGAATGACAGATATTAAATAGCAGTAGTAATGACTCTGAGGACCAGATACACTTTGTGGATTTTCAGTGCAATTTGCAGTGCATTACACAGTTAGAGAAAAGCTAAGCATATAAATAAGCCAGACATGCTGTCAGTTTCAGGTTTATAGCTTTGATTAATATACCAGTCAGACTATTGTGCTTCTGGTGGTGAGTTGTTAATGATATCAGTCCTCACGTGTTTCTGTCATTTTGATTACTGTTGTGCTTTGCAAGTGTTGCATCCACTGAGGCATATCTACAGTGCTGATCTTACTCATTTTTTATTTTGCAGCACTGGTTGGAGTTCACAAAGTCAATTGCCAAACAAATGAAATGTAAGTCATCTTTGTTCTTATCAATTAACTATCATTATTATTTTTTGACAACTACTGAAAAAATGTAAATAATGAAATCTGACTCATTTAGACCTTGAAGTATATTGGGATTTTTTATATTTGCAATCATTATAAATTATGCTGGTAGCCATATTAGGAAGATTTCTTTGCCTTCTTCAGTTTCAGAAGGAGTGTCAGAGGTATCCTCTGTTCATTAAGAGCCTATTTACAATTAAAACCGAAATCAGTCTTCATTAAGGAATCAATATTCCTTTTGTGACATAGTCTGTCTGTTAATAATGAAGTAAATAGTGTCTAAAGTAGATTTGTGGTGTAGCTTATATAAGGTCAGTTTTACAGTACACTTTGTATTATATCTGTATGACTCTGGTAAATGTTAGTCTCTTTAAAAAAACTCTTTACATGTGAAAATGATGCCTTGCTTTTTGCTTGCACACTGAATTGTTACAAAAAATGTGTTGTTCGACAATGAAGCAGGGTCTTAATCTTAATCCTGGACGCAGTAAAGGCTTTCCTTTGTATAAAGGATCTGCAGAGGCTCAAAATGTATGAAATGTCAGAGTGTATATCAGCAAAAACTAATTGATGGGCCAACAGAGAGGGAGTCGAGAATCCCCTCTATTCTGTTCTGATATAGCTGTGCCATTGCAGACTCTCATCTTAGACTAAGACCTGGAAGAGACCGTCTTATTCACCAGATATGTCAAGGCTCAGAACTGAGGCTTATTTCTGAACGTCAGCTCCTGAGTGGAGAATAAAAGAGGCGGGCAAAACCTTCTTTGGCAGATCAGAGGTGAAATTATTCAGCTGTAAAACTAAGTCTCATCTTTTTTTTCCAGATATGGTTGGGTAGAGGAGCTCGATCAATTCCTTGTTCATCTCCCTAAAATTGTCACTCCCTGGCAGAGTCAGACGCTGATGCGTGTTTTATAATTGTGCTTTTGGGCTGGGGATCAAAATGCTTTAAAGTTATGTGTGTAATTATCCGGATTGTTGATTAAAAAACAAAGCACAATGGGCCTCCAGGTCCCCACACAACTCAGACACCATGCTTGTGTGCTGTTTGCTCATCCTGTCGTTGGATTAAAGAAGGGCAGCTTTAACACAGGGCCTCTGGAGGACTTTGTGAAATCTTTCAGCCATAGCGATCTTTACTTTATGTCACAAGTCAGTGACACGTAGTCAGAGGTCAGTTGCTGTTGCAGTCTTTCTACAAGCATTCATACAAGAACCCTCTCTCTCCACTCTGCAGCTCAGCCACCATTCACCATGTGTTTCCGGGTTAAATTCTACCCCCCAGATCCTGCTGCGCTGAAAGAAGAAATCACTAGGTAAGACTGAGGGGTTCCTCCTTGATACTGCACAAACCAGCCTTTCACTTCAGCAGAATCGGATGCAAGTGAGACGGGTTTGTACGAGACATTTCTTTCACCTTCCTGTTGGTGCAAGGAATGAGTTTTAAAGTATTTGAAAATAATCTGAGAGTGATCTTCTACACTTATTTATAAAATTATATAGACCAATAACATTTTTTCCAATTACAGGAAGAATTTAAACTTTTTACATTCCAGTAAACACAGTCACCACAGACAAACATTCTTCAAAATACAATTTTGAAAGTTAGAGGGATACAATTGTACACGAGTGCACACGTGCCTACATTCAAGTGTGCGAAGCTTTGAGTGCTGGATTGCAACCATGGATCTTTTGACAGTCTTGGTCCAGTAATATCATCTGTTCCTAAGATGTGTTTCTGCAGTGATATTGGACAGGGTTGGTCCAGAAAAACACTGCCATCTCTTCTTTTCAGCGTTTGTCTAGAGTCAGGCCATGATTGCAGTGGAGGTGCAGTGGAGTCTGTGTCCCGGACTGTGTAGATATTTCAGAGTCACAGATGAAATACACCGTGCTGCAAAGCAGAGAGCGAATGTGTACAGTTCCCATTCTGAGCAGGGGTGGCCTCGCACCGGAAGCTAAACAACGATGGGGTCTTATCTCTGGGGCCTTGTGCTCAGCTAACTGCGTGTGTGTCAGTAAGCATGTGAATTGCTGTCAAAGTGGGCAAAAAATCTGGAAAAATGGCCAAGCAAAAAGTACGCAACTCCTGGTGCACACATGAAGGAAATACGTGAATGAACCTACAATATGGCCAGCAGCCATATCACCCTGCAACTCATAACTGGCAACCCACTGAACCTAAGCAGGTGTGAGCCTGGTCAGTACCTGGATTGAGACCTCCTGGGAAAAACTAAGGTTGCTACTGGAAGAGGTGTTAGTGGGGCCAGCAGGGGGCGCTCACCCTGCGGTCTGTGTGGGGTCTAATCCCCCAGTATAGTGACAGGGACACTATACTGTAAACAGGCGCCGTCCTTCGGATGAGACGTAAAACCGAGGTCCTGGCTCTCTGTGGTCATTAAAAATCCCAGGGCGTTTCTCGAAAAGAGTAGGGGTGTAACCCCAGCTTCCTGGCCAAATTTCCCATTGGCCCTTACCAGTCATGGCCTCCTAATAACCCCCATCTATGAATTGGCTTCATTACTCTGCTCTCCTCCCCACTGATAGCTGATGTGTGGTGAGCGTTCTGGTGCACTTAAGCATTATCCAGGTGGGGCTGCACATTGCTGGTGGTGGAGGGGAGTCCCCATTACCTGTAAAGCGCTTTGAGTGGAGTGTCCAGAAAAGCGCTATATAAGTGTAAGCAATTATTATTATTATTATTAATGTAAATTTGTTTTTTTTTTATATACCAGATGGAATCTTCATTTCAATCCAAAACTAAACAAAAACTGTTTTGGATCATTTCACCCCTTGTTCGACTGAGGTTGTGCGGAAACTAAATAAATTGTGAAAAGAAACAGAATAAAAGTCAATGGTATGTTACCACAAAGATAGCGACTCAAATTTGTGTTGACAGGCATTTTTCAGGCATTAGGGAGCTCCAGAGATTTGCAATGTGTGTGTGTGTGAAGAAGGCTTGAGATATTCTATGCTCCATACAAAGACTGGGATTCTGTCTTTAGTAAATAACTAATTTATCTAATCTTTGCTTTACCCACTCCCTGTTTAGTACAAAAAGGAATTAAATCTGGACAGAAAAGTATCACCATACAGTACCACTTTATATTTCATTTCATGTCTGCTTTCCTTTTTAATATGTGTAGACAGTTTCTTCTTTTCTGTACTGTAAACACCTTTGTTCAGACTTCAGCAAGCAGACAGTATTCTTTATTTGAAATCCAGGAAAGTGTCTGACATACAATGCCCAGCTCAGAGCATTTGTCTGGCCTGATGGAGTGATCCTAAAAGGCTGTCTACTCTCTGCTGTGCTTTGCTGCAATTTTCTATAAATTAACACCACTGTTCTCATAGGGTATAGCCCAGAGCCCATCATAATGAAGCTCAGCTCTCAGAGGCAATGAATGTCTTGCTGAGATAGGTTCTGGAAGCCTGACCAGATAGCACTTACTTGTTCTTTGTGGTTCACTGCTCTTATTTTGTTGTTTTCCATTTTTATTCATTTTTTCATCAGTGGGTTAAAGGTCCGATCAAGCCACATCAGCTGACAAGGTAATAAAAAAGATGGAGGATCTGTGATAGCAGTAAAAGTAACCCCTGTGTCTGTCTATGAAGAGCCATCAGTTGGCCCTTAATGGGTTTTCCAGGGGATATTTAATGGGTTTCCCTGTGGATATTTATCACGTATTCAAAACTCCAGTGTTTTGACAAAAAAACAACTATACAGTATTTCAAGCTCAGCAGTTAATCAAGGACTGAGACAAACAAATTGCTATTGAAGAATGGATGAATTTAGAAATTAAGATAGGAGTCACTTCTTCACACAAAGTTTCTGAAAGAAACTACCCAACTACAATGTTAAAGCTTGCTCCCCGAGGTCTTCCGAGACCCAGTTTAGTAAGATTTAGACTAAACACTGTCACGGTCACCATCCTCTCCTCCAGAGGGCGCTCCCACCTCCTCACGTCAGTTTCTTTTAATTATTACCTGTATTATTTCCTGGTGTGCCTTGTTTTAGTTTCCCTATTTAAGTTAACTCCTTCCTGCCTTCGGCGCTCAGCTTTGGTACACGGTAGCTCGGGGGCCCGCCTAGTACCAGGTCGCCCCACGTCCGTGGCCTGAGGACACAGGCCTGTTAATGCTCCCCGACCCACTGAGCCCGGGGCCCGGAAGAGAGCCCCATATTCCCTGGATTCCTGTCGTCTTGTCCGTGTTTCCTGTTTGTCTGCGTCTCCTGGTGGATCTCCCGGCCACGGACTAGTCAGGACTGCTTCCTGACTACCCTTTGGACTTCCCTGGATGTGTTTGCCTACGGATTTTCCCCGCACGTCTGCACGAACCTCACTACTTCACTATGAGCACCAATAAGCCCCGTGTGTCTTCCCTGAACCCTGTCTATGGTCCTTTTTCCGGAATCGCCGCCTCGCATAGTGTCGAAAACACCACGCTCCACGGGAGACCAACCCGGCTTCCGTGACGCTTACCAATTGGTGAATATAATTTTCTACACATAAATGTGTAGCTCTGTATCCATTTTACTGCTCTTGTAGAGTTCAAAATGGCTTTTTAAACATTTTCATTTCAAAACAGAATTAACATTCAATATATTTCCTTATGCTTTGAAAAAGAACCTGAAACTTAGAACTGTACAGGGCTTTGCAAATAGCTTGACACACTGGCTTCTCAGACGAGTGCCTCCTTCCTTACCTGAAGAACAAGACGCAAACTTCCACACATCAGTGTATCGATAGCAGATCACAGCGATGTTTTCATCACATTACAACACATATGGACAAATATGCTCTTCCAGCGACTTAATCCTAACTTTGTTGCTCAGAGGTGATACGGTATGAATAGATATCAAAGGTTTATTGTGACTGATTTTCTGTCCCAGTTTTTTTTTAATGGCGTAAAAGGTAATACTTACAGAATAGACAAGAAGAGAAAATTTGTTGTTTTTTTATTTTATTTCATGGGACCTTGGTGATTTGACCTGACAAGGGTGTACCAATTGCATTTGTTGCGTAGTGACTGGAACTCTGCACAATTGTAGCAAGCACAGAGACTATGGAGGAAACCACAAATGAGCAGGATTTTCAATAAGGGCACAGGCAAAGAGCAGCAAAACATAATGCATCTCGTCTTCTGACAGGAAACTAGTCATGAGCTGCTGAGCATTCTTGCCATGAAGATGGCAAGGCGCAAGCACGTCTGAACACTGGATTGGTGCAACTGCCAAAAGCTATCATGCTAATGCCTTTTTATAAATTAGGCTCCAAAGAACTGAAGTAAAAAAAGGCAATTGGAAAGTTTGTCAAGCAAAAATGCATGCATTCCAATGTAGGCATGATCGTCTTGTGAACTTTGAAAGCTGGTTAATTCAAAGAGGACAAGAAGAAAGGGACAAGAGAAGTCTGAAAGGCTGTCTGCCTCACTCCTCCATGTTGCGTTCCCTCTGGGAGGGATGAGGAGCCTACTAGGTCAGTGCAAACTGAAGGATCCATTTAAGTTTTACATGATTAGCTTTCAGATGGCTAGAAAGACATTAGCATTTGACAGCCTGCTTCTTCTTCCAAACTGTCTGGAATCAGGTCATGTGTAAAAACTCCCAATACCCCAAGGCACTGTCTACTTACTCGCTCGACATATCGAGAAGAGATTTGATCCACTTTCTGACCGTGTGTTATTAGTGCACAAAAAAAAGGCAGTAAGATTTAAAAAAAAAAACTATTAATGTGAATGAAATGAAGCTCCTCTGAACTTTACAAGACTATATCAGAGTGATTAATTGAATTGTTCTTATGTGTTGTCACCTCAGTTCCTGCTGTGTCAATCACGTTTTTGCTAGAGCAAATTCAGGGTGAGATGTGACATCTAACGTTAATTTTCCATGATGAGGAAGTTACTCTGAAGCGTGTCATAAACTCCAGCTCACCTGCTTACTGAATTGCACGTGTGTGTATGCAGTAAATATGAGCAGGGCTTTTGAAGGGTATGGATTCAATATCATTTGCCAGTTCAATTCTTTGTCAGCGTTGGCCAAAAGTCCCAGGGAGAAAAGAAAATACTGTTTTGCAAATTTGCATTAAGTTTGGAGATGTTTTAGTAAAGTTTATGAGTAAAATAAATTACACCCCAATGTGCATAAGACAGTGTAAAACCTTGTTTAAACATACTGTAGCTTTACTATAACTGTTTAGACTTCTAGGTAAAATACCACACTGCAGGCAAAATGCGCTGCGCACCTTTTCCAGCACTTTCACTGATAAGTTCATTAGAACCAATTGCAATGAATGAAGACAGAAGGGTATTTTCT